TTAGGGAGCCCCTGAGATGGTTTTCCTGAATCCTGGGGTGAGTGAAGGCTGCTCTGTTTACCAGCTCTAAGGGTTCACAGAGGTTTTGTACTCATGAATAGATGTTGAATTCTAGCGACTAAGGCAGGGCTGGCAGATATCTCTGCAAGTAAAGCCACCTTCCCCTGGAACCCGAGGACCTGATTTTGATCACTTGTGTCACGGCATGCCTCTGCCCCCAACCATAATCAGTAACCCGAGCCCAAAAGAAATAAATGGAACTAAAATCAAAGGCAGTATTTATAAGGCCAATGTATTACTTTCTTTGGGTCTTTGAAGCCAATCAGGACAATATGGTAGCCTTGCTCACCCCTGAGTTTTCCTGAGCTACCCCACTCACACCTTCTTTACTCATTTCAATTTCAGCTTGGATTTTCTCACTAATTTTTGTAGTTCCAAGAAATAGACACGTAGTAGAAACTAATGTTCATTTTATTTTTAATGCTTGAACTCATACAGCCCAGTCAGGGCTCTATGCCCCTACCTCTGGTTTTATGCTGTGCTGGGGATTGAACCCACAGCCTTATTTATGCTAAGCACACACTGTGTTCACCAAGCTACATGCCTAACCCCTTAAAAGCAGCTAACATCCACTATCCCTATTTTCATCTGATCTATATGGCAAATTAAGAGAAAGCAGGATGTATGATCTCAGGCTTCTATTCGATTATTCAGAAGTTCATCTAACCATCTTGCTTTTTCTGTTTCCCATACCAAGAGGAGCTTGGGGATTACCTGTGGGCACATTCAGGGCAGAGCAAATTATCTTCCACTCCAGGGGATGGGAACACACAGGCTGGTAAAATGAAGAGAGGTATCATCCTTTGGGAACTGTCTGGAACCCAGGTCTGACCGGCGTGCATCTGCAGGCAAACCCAGCCTTCCTTATCGGCAGGGAGCTGCCTGCCGTGGACGACACACCACCTGTACCCTGAGAAGGAGAAAAAACAAGATCAAGACAACGCTCTGTGCCCTCTCTCCTAAAGTTACTCCTGAATTTGTTTTCTATGGTCTGCTAAAAATCAAACGTATTTCTGATAGCTTATAAACTGTCAAAACTCGCCGGGCGATGGTGGCGCACGCCTTTAATCCCAGCACTCGGGAGGCAGAGGCAGGCA